CGGAACATGGTAGCCAACTAAGTCCACAACGCCCAGGAATAAACAAAATACAAAAGATTGTATCGACATACAAAATACTTTAACTAAATTGTATTTCATCACAAATCTAATTACACTATCTTGTCATGATGAGATAGACGGGAGCAACGTCGGGACACACGATGCATTCTGAAAGGCTCAATTGTAGCAATGCGGAGGGCAAGTTCGTCTGCTTCTGGCGCAGGGGGTAGCGGTGACGTCAGAACGCCGAGCCCTGATTGGCTGATCGCGACCCCCTATCTGAGCGTCGTCTGCTCCTTTGCAACGTCGTCTGCTCGCAACGTCGTCTGCGTCTGTCTTACCTTTCCTGCGACTTTCGGAAGTGCAGAGGCCAGACTCACGAAACGATCTTACGCCCAGAATGTGTGTAAGACATAACTTAAGAACAAGAACATAACAAAAGAAACGAAATGTTCGTAAGTTTTGCGCAGGTTACGACGAAAACCTACGACAGCTCCGAAGCCGTCTTACGAGCTTCAGCATGGCCGACAGCGTCGCGGCCGCGACGACCCACGGGCGTTTATTTTTCTACGTGCGCTTCTCACTTCAAGCAGGAAGAAAAAAGTAAAAAGTACTCGAAACAGACCACGACGAACAAGAACGCTGGATCCACAAACACCCGGGAAAAGCTCCAACGGCCACGGTTCCACCGAACGCGACCAAGCGAGCACGGCAGTTAGGCCTAGCAGGCACTCCGCGACTCGGCGACCGGACCCACGACCGGCTGGCGTGCTGAATGGAATATGCTTGCGCGACCCTTGTGAACCCTTCCCGTATTATACTTTGATCGCTGACCTCAATTTTAGATTAAGAGGTCAATTTTTTCCTCTTGTCATCTCCTTGTTTCCCGAGGCAACGGTGACTCTCGCCGGCGAAAAAGCGGTGAATCTCCGACAGAAGCAGGAAAGGTAAAGCAGCCATCGCTTTGACTAGCAGACGTAAAGCAGACGACGTTAACTGCGCCAACCCGCCGACGCCGTTAAAGAGTGAGGGGTCTCGCCGCACACGAAAGGTGGCAAAAAGTATTCGGGAGGGAACTTACGCTCACCTCCCGGTTCTTAGCAAACCAACCTCGGCGCCTCGGGACACCTCGCCAGTGAGTCCTTTGACTTCCCTCCATGATGCCCGTCTGCTGTTTGTTAGACAAAAACAACGTACTGCTCGAGTTATTTCGTCTGCCCTCTCTGAAAGGCGAGGTCGAGCTCGCTCGTAAAGACCTGCACTCCCGAAAGTCGCAGGAAAGGTAAGACAGACGCAGACGACGTTGCGAGCAGACGACGTTGCCAGGGAGCAGACGACGCTGAGATAGGGGGTCGCGATCAGCCAATCAGGGCTCGGCGTTCTGACGTCACTGCTACTTCCTTTCTCACGCGCAGAAGACGAAAATGAGCCCACTTGCGAGGCGTATAAAGTCTTTAAAAAAAAAAAAAATCATTGTTCATGCGACGTCTGAAATTTAAATCGCGCAACCAAAATTCAATTTTTGTAAACCATCCCGTTCATTCATTTTATACCCTTTCTTGTTTTCTTTCTTCGGCGTTTATTGTGAGCAAAGCGCAGCCAGTTTCATGCTCTTTGCGTGACTTTCATTGCGAAGAGCGGATAATATCGCGGTTGATTTTAAAGAACAGTGGCCAAAATTATATTTAGGCAGTATTTAATATGCATGTATTTGAGACACTCACTTCTGAAGTATTTAAATAGATTGTACAATACGTAATTAAATACAAAATAAAAAAAATAGTCAACGTACATTATAGAATCAAACTCGGAGCCAAGTGACCGAACACAGAACAGGAAACAAGGCACGACCATTAGTGTGGCAATTTGGGCCAGTCGGTTCATGATCGTAGACAAGCCCCGAAAAGATAGACAGGGACAAGAAGTTGACGTAAACACTGGCGCGGAAAACGAAGCAAGGCACGAACAAAACGCAGCCTCCAAATGCCAACAAAATACCAAACGGACACTCCTTCCGTCCTCTTGTCCACCTTTCTTTCCTTTTTTTTTTTTTTTTTTATGCGAAAGCAATATTTTTTTTTTTTTTTTGGCGAACTGGCGACAGAGCCTGCTGTCTTTGAGTCTATTGGCGAATTCGCGTGGTTTTTTCTGCGCGCTCTCGAGCGCTCTTTCCAGAGCGCGCGAAATCGGGTGGTTGAAAGAGAGTGCTGTGGCCTGATCGGGTGGTTCATTCCGAGGGCGCCTCTCCCTCTCAGAGCGCTCTCTGGCACTCCGTCTGTAGCCGTCGGAGTGCGGAGCGGCGCAGGCGTCACGTGGTAGCTGGACGGTGATCACGTGGTTTTGTTGACGATGGCCGCCAGTGGTCTGTGGTGGTGTGCGGGGTCCGGCATGACGGCGATTGATGTGTGGTTCTGCAAAGTGCTTGTGCATTCGACGGTGCAAGGATTACAGCGGACGGGACGACATTCGTTTGCGACCGTAACAGGAAAAGCCGACGCGTGAACTGTTCCCAGTGCCTTCAGAAGATCGTTGATCTCACGGCGGTGAATCCGCTAAGCCTAACCGACGACGAAACAGCTCGCAGAGCTCGCCGCTGTTTTACCGGATTTTGTAGTCGCTTCAAGAAATTTTTGAGGTTTGGTAAAAGTGCGTTCAAAGGTTTGTGTTGTAAAATAAAGGGAGAACCGAATATAATGCACCGTGATTTGTGTCACATTGCGATGCTTGCACGATATTTCGCCATGAGAAAAATGTGGTTTATTAACCATTTTATAATCGCCTGCTCAGTCGTACGCATGACCGCTATCGCAGCGCGTTCACTGTCGAAAACGCGATGAGTTGACAACTGTTTCCAAGCGCTGGCTTTCGTTCCGTTCTGCAAAAATCAATTCGCATACTGTTGTTTTCTTCTTTTTTTACATTCCGATGAGTAAAACTATTTACGTCAAAACCGTTATTTCATCACGTTGCGAGCGTAAATTTTGCTCAATCGTCCACCGCACGCTGTAAGATCGTGTTGTTTTTTTATGCATAACCAATGTCCAGAAATTTAATTCCGTGACTGGTCTGAAAATCTCGGAGCGCTCTGAAGCCAGCAGTTGTGATCGGCTGAAAAGGATCCCGAGTAGCTCTGGCGGCGAGGAGGGGGCGCTCTGCTGAATCGAGGTCAGAGGAGAGAGGCGACCACCCGAATCCACCATATGTTTCTCCTGAGCTTGCGCATGTGTCGTTCACTCGCGCACTCATCCACGAGTCTGGCTGCCTTATCAACTTCTAGGTCGGCTGCTATGGATATGCAATACCGGACTACATGTCAAGTCCCCCGAACTGCGGCGTTGCATCTTACGAACTTATTGCGGAATGCGTCATGAGCCGAGCTTGCCGTCAAACTAAAGCCACGGCAGGTGGCATGTCTACGATACATGAGTACCGTTTGTTCCTAAAATATTTCGGCACGCATTATGTTGCATATCCCGAATTAGTAAACTTGAATTGCAGCAGCTAAGGTGCTTCTCGAAGGTCATATACAGATCACAGGCATATATGGTTTTCAGAGATGTCATCACAAATAGAGCACACCTTTCTCTGACTTAAAACTTGCCAAATCTTCGAACGTAATTCTTTTTCAAAGTATTTGTACTTTACTCAAGATAGTTCGCACTAAAGGTAACTTGAATACTACTCTAAGCGCCTTTTCAAATGGACATTTAGCATGTTATCGTAAATACTTACATTGAATATTAGGCGTGATGGCCTGTAGCTGAGCCGGTTGGTTATCCATGCTTACTGATTACCAGCTGAACGTTAGGAAAGCGTTAGGAAGAAGCTACAAGGATTGGGTTGAGGAAAAGGAAGTGTATATAAAAAAAAAGGGTTGATAGTCCAGCAGTGTGTTTCTTTCTCTCTTCGTCGCTTTCCTAACGTTCAGCTGGTAATCAGTAAGCATGAATATTAGGCACAACGCTGTAGTTGAGATACGAATTTCAAACACTCATATTTGAAATACTACCCACCCCTGATTGCGCTGAATAGCGCAAACTGCGGGGAACGGGCACCATTTTTTTCCAGCGTTCGGCGATGCCTACTTTAAATTTGCGATTAAAACAAGGCCGTGAATTCTCGGCGGCACGCTTTGGCGGGCTAATCGACTTCTGCCCATTCTCCTAAAGTCGTTCGCCGCCGCGGCTGTTCCCTTCTTTTGTACACTCGTGGTCGACAAATAATTGGTCTGATGGGGGAGGGGGTCAACTTAATACACTTCCTTTGTGTCTTTCCTTTTTTTTAAACTCCTTTGGCCAATGCGCGGCACAAGTGCAGTGTACCATAAGCAGTGGCGGTGAAGCTTCATGATGAGGATGGTGATGATCACGGGTTTTATGGCGCATTTGACACTGAAAGGTCTATGTGTGCGAGAAAGATGCCGATATACGCCCGCGTTCGAGCTGTGTTCGGCACCGCACATCGGGTTTGGCTGGGCGGTTTTATGTACTCCCATAATTTACCCGGGACTATGGAAAGTCCCGAACACATACACGCACACATCGTCCCAGCTAGCCCCGATAGTTTAATTTTTCAACAATGATCGATATACATCTTGATTGATAGCTCGAGGGCAGTCAACAGCGCGGATGCCTACGTAATTTTACGTAGTCTTGGAAAAGGACAAGTCCATGTTCTCTTTCCCACAGATGGCCCTCCGTGACCAACTTACCGCTCCATGGCGACTAAGATGGACCGTCCATGGCGGACTTCACTGCCTCTGGGTGCGAGCGACGAAAGGCGGCCGAAATTATTCAACGGCTCCATCGAGAAAAGAGCACACGGAGCGTGCGGAGCTGAATGGGGAATGCGCGACGCGTTACAGCGGTCGGCCGTGTGTGCAGCGCTGAAAAACGGGAGCAGACGACCGAGACCTCGCGTGAGACCATCTCCACGCTCTCACGCACTCCACTCAAGCTGACCCCACGCCAGCTTATCATCCTTTTGCGGAGCGTATTACTCGGTAAAGGAAAGGCAGCGGAATCCGAGCGGAGCTCCGCTATTGGTCGCTGCGGCGGCACCGCCGAGACCCGCGTCCTGATTGGCTGGCCGGCCTCTTCCTCCCCTTGTAGTCGGCGAGTGGAGCCTGCTGCCTCCTACTGCCTTGGTCGTGGCGCCGCGCCTGGGCGCGCCATCGTCCGCCGTCGCCCTGGGTCCCCGACGCTTCCGAGACGTCGTGGACGTCCACAGCGATACCGACGTGAGTCCCCGACGTCCAGGTTTTCATCGGGAACGCGTCGTTCGGTCCGAAAATCGAGTCCAAAGCCGCTCGGAGACGCGCGATCGGCGGGAGGGAACGCCCCGAGTGCGTTCCGTCTCGCTAGCTCAACCACCTCTAGAGTCAGTGACGGTCACTCTCTATGGGTGAAAACGGCTTCCGTGACGTTGTGTTCGTACACCGGTGGATGCAGAAAGCGAGGGTCGCGCGGGTCGTGAGCAGTCGCTTTTGTTGTCACGTGGGACTTCCTAGCCGCGTTGCTTGTGGGGAGGGAAAACCGAGCGCACCGGTCGTTGTTGCATGGAGGGATGATGGGAGGGTTTCGGGGTGGCTGCAGGGGAGGGCGGAACGTGTGGCGCCATCTTGGTGCGCCTACGCTAACCAAAGGCCCCTGTTCCGAGCTGTTCACTCGGGCGGAACCGAATTTCGCTCGGTCGTCAGGGTCGGCTTCGTGTCGATGGTGGTCGCCGTAGCGCTCGTGTTGGCGGCGGTCGAGAAGTCGTCGTTTCGAGAACAACAGCGCCGCGACCGCGACGTCGTCGTCGTCGCTACGCCTATCGTCACCGCCGAAGCGCATCAACGCGACGTCGCAGGCTTCGGCACGCTGTCGAGCTCCTAGGAACGTTGTTGTCGATCCCGTGCTGGGTCGAGTTGATTCCGCCACCACCGGCGGCGTCGACAGCGCCAAGCTAGGGCGTTCTCTGCAGCGACGAAGACGTTCTTCCTGGTTTGTCGTTTTCTTCTTTTCGTGACGGCGTGCTCGTGCCGCAACTGCTGCTGCCGTGTGTTCGTGCGTGTGTGTGCCTTGTGTGGAGTGCGCGCCGAGTCTCAGCCGCCCTGGATTTTGAGCGGCAAAGCGTCGCACGGAGGCCTTTTAAACCAGACCTGTGGAATACTGATTCGGCTCGTCTGGAGGTAAGCGACTACGAGTTCACATTGTCGGTGACCGCGTCCGCTGTCGGCTGCGCGTTTTCGGTGTGGTGATTGAGTCGGGTGGGGGTGAATGCGGTGATCGCCGCCGTTGTCGTGAGGCGAGGCTGCCGTGTCCCTCCGTGGTGGCGTTGTTCGTCGACCCTGGCTGGCGCTCGAATGTTTCGAGGGCGACCGCGGAATTGGGGACGACGCGTTCTTGCGACGGCTCTCTTAGGAGGTTGGCGAAACGAGGGATCCAGTGCGGAGGATGTTGCCCCGATATTGACACGTGCCGCGATAGTTTTGGGGGCTCGTCGATGCGTGCCGCCGCCCAACTGGTGCGCTGTTGGTACACTCCGCGGGGAATTTAGGTCCTGGAAGTCGCCACTGGTATTTGGGCCGGGGAACACAGCGCTCACGCGGGAAATTACGGTGACGGTTGTATGTAGGGGCGCTCGTGCGCATAGGCGCACTTCTTTTCAGACGGACACGTGTAACACGTCACAGGCACACATCATCATTCACTCACGTATGGATATGGCATGCACACAAACACACACTCAGAGGCACATCCTTGCATAGATGCACTGTCATACGGTCACAAGAGGCACACGCTCGCAAACATTATCTATCGTGGACACTCAAATAGAGGAAGGAATACACAAAATCCAGACAGGTGCTCATACTTCGGCACACATAAAGCAGACACACTCCCACACAGACAGTTCACATAAACGCTCTCTGAAATACGCCTTTGACGCTGACACACATGCGCACAAAAGCAGGCACACTCTCGGATGAACGCACACTCCGCCAGTTTCAAACAAGCGCGGCAGATACATACAACCTCAGGAAAGTTCTATTCGGAGTAGACACACAGACAATCTGAGACGAACGCGTGGACACGCTCTTTCACACAGGTTCAAAAAAGCGCGCACATCTTCTCAGGCGCACGATTCTGCTGATGCGTCGCCGCCATGATCCTCGGAAAACTTGGAACTGCCACGCGAGTCCACAAGGTTGTCGCGTCGCTACTTGCAACGAGCGCAGAGTGTGCACGCGGCAAAATGACCGCGCAGGCCGCCGCCCAATGTTGCCGTCTTTCGGCCCGCCTTTCATGTGACATCGACTGCCTAGAAACCGAACTGAAACAAGGCATACCTAAACCTGCTTAGCTCTGGTGACCTACCGCTGTCTGCGTTTAGTTGAGATCACGTGTCCTTGTCCATAAGCAGATTTAGGGAGAGGGGTGCGGGGGGCGACCGCCCTTCCCCTTTCCTTCCCTTCATCACCCAAGCTTCCCAAGGTCAACTTTTTTTTAATGATAAGATTGACATACGCCAGCCAAAAGTTTTTTTTTTTTTTTTTTTTTTTTTTTGTCACATAGCAAATGTGGTGTCAACAAAAGAAATCTGAGCAACGCTCCGGCTGTAACGTCATATCTCAACTAAGGAGCCTTCGTGAAGGCACCCTAATCTCAACCCCCTCCCGAGCTTGACTCATCAATCCGGCCCCTTTCTTGTCCGAGCCGGAACTAGTCTGTACTTTGGAGACGACACGTACTCCCTGATCACGTGACCTCGGGAATGTCTGCTGTGCTTCGTTCAGGCCTAAATTAAGCTGAGACTACAGCTCAAGCTACAAAGCGAGCTATCCCGCGCTGCTGGCTTTGAGCCGTGGCTTTCTTGCGCGAGCACTCGTTCTGCGGAAGAACGTTTCACAGCCGAGATCCCGTGTTTGGAGCATTGGCTGCAGCCTCAGAGTCAGTTTAAGAATGAACGAAGTAGGGACAGTCAACGTTTACGATGGTGCTATGATCTAATTTCACTAGCGCCATAAACACCGATTTGTTTGTTCCACCAACAAACCGAAATGAGCCTTTTTTTTTCGATGACTGTAGTATCCTCCACAGCGCAGCGCGCTATATACAGGGTGTCACAATAGAAAATTTACACGGTCTTTTTTACCGCAAAAATAAACTAGGCATCGCCGAACGCTCATTCTCAGCCCAAAGGTAGAGCTAGAGGTCACAACCAGATGGCAAAGTTTCAGCCCGATCCGATAACTTAATCAAAAGTTATAAGTGATTTTCTGAAAATTTCAATGGGAAAATGGCGTCCGACGGACTTTTCAAACACATGGGGCTCTATGGCAGTAGAAACCGAAAACGGGCAAAAACGGGCTCCATTTTCCCATTGAAATTTTCAGAAGATCACTTATAACTTTTGATGAAGTTACCGGATCGGGCTGAAACTTTGGCGTCTGGTTGTGACCTCTAGCTCTTCCTTTGGGAGGAGAATGAGCGTTCGGCGATGCCTAGTTTATTTTTGCGGTAAAAAAGACAGTGGAAATTTCCTTTTGTGACACCTTGTAGATACCTTGCTTCAATTACAGTGGCCGGAGAGAGCGCTAAAAGACCGGCATCCAAAATGTTCTCAAAGCGGCGACAGATTACGTCACATCGTCCGACGTGTCACGCTGTCGGATGTCGCAATTTTGGCGGTTGGTGGTGCAAGCGCCGGCATAGTAGACGAGCGGACGCAAGGGTCGCTGTTGTCGCGGCGTAACTAGAGTTCCTGAATGGCTCCCTACGGGAGCCAGAGTTGTGCGTTCATCCTCAAAGCGCCGTCTTTCCTGCACGGCATGCGGAGTCTGCTCTTCACGTGACTGGATTCGGCGAATAGCGGTGCCGCGCGTTCGAGGCCCACGGCGCGTTCGCCGGGGCACGTGCAACGTCTACTTTCCTGCACGGCACTTGATCTGGCTCCTCACGTGATCGGATCTCGGCGAATAGCAGCGCGGCGGCACGTGGAAAACAGACGCGCAACTCTGTCTCCCGTAGGGCCTATACAGGAACTCTAGGCGTTCCAAGTCCTTGCTGCTCAAGTTTCCGTGAACTGTGAACCTGGAGAGGGACCTGCAGCAGGACTAGCGTTTGCTGCATCTTGGACCATGTCGAGCCTTTTGCAATTGAATGTCGGACGCCTCCTGCGTAGATTGGGGGTAAGTGCGCGTGCGCTGCGTTTTTATGTGATGAAGAGAAAAATCAGGCGGAAAGGCGCAGTCGTTCGCAGACGACCAACGGATTCGTCGCCTCCTCGCAGCTCGTATTGCAAACGCGGCCCATAAACTACTGGACTTCGATCGAGCAGTAGACTACTTCCATAAATCCCTGCATGCAACACTGCGCGCGTTGCATTCTGGGAACTAGTTGGCCAGGGAGGAAGGTGGCATGGTTTCGGTTTCGATCGACACGTCGACAAGAGATCATGCGCAGAGTGTGAACTGTAAACAAGCGTCATCTTACGTTTCCTCGTCCCGAGCGCATAGTTTTGGGTCTCTAAACTAACCCAAATGGCCAGACCTCGGAGCTTCGGCACTAGACCGAACCATACGTATTGTTTGCAGGTTGCTGGTTGTATTTTTGTAGTCGAGCCTTTCTGTTAGCGGTTAAGGTATGTGATCGAGCCAGTGCTAGGAATCTCGACGCTGCGAAGCTCCGGGACATTGCTTGTGTAAGAGTCAACACGCTGTAACAACCAATAAATACCCGTACGCGGAGCTCGCACCTTTACATTAGTGTTGCTGGTCACAAAGTTGTGTACTTGGTTTTTGCGCCCATTGACGGAGTATGCCTTTTTTGCAATTACTGCTCTTTCTTTTTTTTTAAGGATGTTTTAGTACGCGATGTAGTAACTCGGAGACGCCTTTGAAAAGCTCAAATCGAACAGACTTCTTATCTGTACTGACCCAGCACTGCACGATGTGAAGTGCCCACCCACTTGCATGCTACTACTAATTCAATAACGGGTATGCGCATGAAGTTACCTTGCAGGCACATTCGCGCATACAAACCGTTATTAAGAAAGCAACATTCGAGCACTCGCGTGAAGAACGGCGCACGTATGCGGGCGTGAACCCCTATGCGGTGCGCCAAACGAACTAAAGTATTCAAAGCGCATTCGACGGTTGCTATTGGCCATAAAATTTATGTAAGTTTGCTTTTTTCCTGACCGAGTATGCCGAGTTATTTTCAGACACACCGTTCAAGCACAGATCTTGGGCATCGG